GTATTCCTGCTTTTATCTTTCTTTTTCGTCACTCCTCCCCATGTTTTCAGCTTGCATCCCTACCACTTGTGTCCCATCTCCCTCCCACCCCCTTTTTCTATAAATGCTTTATACTAGACTGAATGGGGGGCTGGGAATCAGAAACCTAGGAAAAGTGGAGTCTGATATGTCAGCACACCCATTTTCTGACCCAAGCTAGTTTCTCTTGGGCGTATGGCTACTCCCACCCTGGGTTTGCAGCTTTGCTAGTTCATCTGGCGCATGTTCACCCTGCTCTGATAGGAAACGCAGGAGGGGCTACACTACCTGTTCTTAGACACCCTTAGGAAAAGCCAGAGCAACACACGGTGGTTTTCCTTCCTTGGAACTGTTATAAACTGACTTGTCCTTTATGGCAAGCTAAGAGTTGCTTGTAGCCCCCCCCCCACTTCCCTTTACAAACTGGGGCTGACCTCAGAGTTGTACGTCCAGCACATTTGACCTCTCCACAGTGTGCAGTTCTGTTGACTGTCACTTTCCCCTTGAACCTCTCTTGCTCCTTGGTTTCCAGTCATCGGACCTCCTATTTCTTTTTTAATCTACCAACCCCACCCCATCGCCATCCCAGGCATCTCCCCTGATGCCCCTCTGTGCACGGGATTTGAGTTATGCGGTCTCTGAAGTACACGGCTCATTCCAGATTCTCTCCCTGTCTTAGAGAAAGTTTCCCCTCAGCCTCTGATTGGTCCTTGTCTTCAGAGCTCCTTCTGTCCATCTTTTGCCTGCTTGACCTCGCCTTCTCACTGGTACGTCACACAGCGCCCCCAGAATCTGCTTCTTGGTCTTCTCCCCTCACAACCCAACACACCACCCAAGCTGCTGGTCTTCAGAGCAGTGACTCTCGGTTGGAGGGGGTTTGGGTGGAGATTATGGATCCCACTGAGAATACATGTTAATCACATACAGTTTACATATAATCAGTCCCCTGTTCTTCAGTGGTCTTGGGCTCAAAACCTCTCTGAAAATGTCAATGAGGTCTCCATGTCAGACTTTTCCCCTGGGCTCTTGCCTGCATAGATGGCAGACTTTTTTAGTTGAGCTCCTGACCTCAGTGGCTGTTCTTCAATCCACAATCATTCTTTGCTGACAACTTGACGTTCTTCAGGTGCATGCAGCATAGACAAAGGATGTAATTCTTCACCTCAGGAACCTTCAGTGGCTCATAGAGAAATGCAGACACCCAGCACAGCTGCAGGATTCCACACTCCATTCCAGGCTCAGCCCCCAAGGCCCCCCACTCTCCAGCCACGGCACAGTGGCCACCCCAACAGAAGCAAGAATCTGAATCAGAGTTCTAGCCCTGCTGTTTGTGAACTGTGTGGCCCCATGCAGGTTGTTTAACCTCTCTGTTTCTCAACTTCCTTATCTCTAAAATGGAGATAAAATTACACTTTATAGGTTTCCTGGTATTATTAAGTGGGACAATATAAAGTTCTTGGTACACAGTAAGTAGAACGTAATGTTTGTTGCTCTTGTTGCCAATGCTGGTTTCACTACTGTTATTGCTAGTAGTCAGCCAAATTCCTCCTGTGCCAACAGTTGGCACTGAGTTGTAGATACCCTCATAGTAGGGTATAGACTTTTAAGTAGCCTCGTCTTTGCCATGGCCTGTCACCTTTTGTCTGTCCCACTCTCTTAATAACAATTTTGCTTGTTTCCTGTTGACAGACTCCACTCTTGGACATTCGTGTTCAAGATGGCTGTGCTGTGAATCAGTCTTTATGGAAGTAAGAACCTCAAGGAATGTTTATCACAGTGGCTCTTAACCTGCGGTGCAGATCGATAGCATCAGTGCCCTGAGGCCTTGTCCTCAGGCCTTACCCTAAACCTACTGAACGAGAAACTCAGGGGTAGGTCTAGCAGTGTCTGTTAAGAATCCTTCCACCTGGTTCCGGTAACAACTAAAGTTTGAGAACTACTGGTTTGAACACAAGTATTGTCTATTCGTATTGTCTCTATTTGATTTCTATGTAAAATTTAAAATGTTGAGTTTTTCTAGGCACTTTAAATGGTTTGTGAGTTCCACATTTTCCTTAGTAGAGCTGCTGTCTTCTAGCTATTGGGCTGGAAGTGGGTTCTTCCTCTGGGGGTTTGTTCTGTTACATTCATGTGAACTTTGACCTTTAAACTTGCTCGAGGAATCAGATTACCTGGGGTAATGGCCAGGCATTTTTAGAAAGAAGACTTTAGAAAGTTATGGAAGGAGCTGCTTTTAAGTGGATATGAAATCTATGAAGTAGTGGGTTTAATAAGATTGAGTCACTGTTGTATAGATTCTCATTAACTACTTTACATTAGCCATCTAATTTATGTGATTTGGGAGTTCTCACTCCTGTGTGCCTCACCCTCTCCCATTTACAGTAATTTTTTTGGTTTCTCAAGAATTCTTCTATATGGGGCAATACCTTTTCACCCTCCGCCTGCCCCAGGGATAGTCAGAAGACCTTTTCCAGTAATGACAGTTACATTTCACTTTTCACAAAAGCTCTTGTTTGTGCTCTAAGCTCACACATGATATCAAAGCTACTTTTTTTTTTTTTTTTAACTCTCTTCTGTATGTCATTAATGGCTATGGTATAGCATCCCATTCTGTAAGTATTCTAGAATTTAGTATTTGTGACCACCAGTTTGGGAAGTTCTCAGATAGTTGCTTTGAATTTTATGTGATTTAAAGATGGCTCTAATATGCCTTTTCTCTAAGTTCTTGTTAGATTATTCAACGCACCAGGTACTCTTAAAAGATCTTTGTAAAAGTTGTATATACTATCTAGATGCAGTTTTTTATAATCCAATATTAGAGTCTACTCATGATTATCTAATGTACTCAGTAAAGGTACTGTGCATTTAGTGGCATTGCTAACAGTTACCGTGGTGATTTAATTCTTTTCTCTGAGAGAATGAAAATCAGACATCAAGAGGACTTTGTAAAAGGAGAGTTTTGGAGATGGCAATATGCTGCAGTTACAAATTTTACTTACCCCAAACCAGCAGTACATAGCTAAAGCCCTTTGTCAATTGCTTTAAAACTGAAATGTTGATAGACATCAGCCCCCCAGCTATCCATGCACTGTTTAGTAATCCTGCTTTCTCCGTGAGCATGCACTGGAGAACCCAAGAACACCCCCTTCCCAGGCCCCCCGTGGAAAAGCTATAGGAACACAACTAAAATGAGCTTGAGCTTTCGAGAAACGTTTATCATCTTTTGATAATGAAAACGTCCATGTGAATAGACTTTCATTTTGCTTTTCTAGTATGTAAAAATAAAACCAGTTTGTGTTATTTATCAAATATTTATTGATTTCACAATGAGACACAATCTTTGCCCTCAGAAGTACATGTAGGCTACTTAAACAGTAGGTACATGTGGGAACAAGTCATCACAAAGCAGTGTGAGAAGTACAGTAACTGAGACATGACAGATGAGGAGGAACTGGGTTTGAGATGGTGGTAGGAGGCTGGCGACTTGAGATTTCAGGGACTAGGTGATGGCAATGCAGGGTTTCATGGACGAATAAGAGTTTTCTTGGTTAGTCAGAGGTAAATTTATATGTGCAATGGCATAGGGGTAAAAAGGAGCCTGGCATGTTCCTACAGTTACAGGTTTATGGAAGAGTGTAAAGTTCCAGGGATGGAGAGGGGGCAGGTTTCAGGGCCCTCGGCACCCTCGAGGGCAAAGAAAGAGGCCTGAGAGCCACCTTCCAATGATAATGTTGGAGCCAGAGGCACATTTACAGAGCATGACTATTCCTTTGTCCATTTTCTCCAGAAGTGGTGTCGGCATCTACAAACAATACCCAATAAATGTTTTGTAGCTTTTTTGAACCACAAAGATATTCAGAAGAAAATATGGAGGTAAATAAGTACAACTAGGGCTCCATCCTTTGAAAAAGACCCCAGTATGGGTGTTACTGGTTGTGGGTCAGCAGTTCCATCTATATATGTACCCAGAATAGCGTAATATTGACATATACTCTATTTAAAACATTTGCGACCCAAGGCCTGTGGGGAGTATCATGGGATTTACCAAGAAAAAATGACATGTTTTCTGTCGTCAAAACATGTTGTTTTTCTCAGAGAATCCTAACCATCTTTGGGGGATGCAGTAAGAATACAGTGAACTGGTAAGAGGAAATCTGCAGTGAGGGCCTTAACACACACCCAAACAGTTGGAAAAGCAATTATTTTTAACCAGAGGTGGGAGCAGGAGAATAGAGGTGGTTGCCTGGGAAGGCTCTGCTCAGTAGGTGGTGTATTCAGCCACCCTTAGAGCACTTGCTGGGCAGAGGGAGAATTCTAAAGAAGAATACAGTATTCTTGCCCTTGAATTGTAGACACGTGGCATGCGAGCAAAGTATTACGGTACAAATTTACGTAGCTTAATAATTGTCCCAGTTTCTCTGGAGACGTAAACGCAGGTGGTCTAACTCCCAATACGTGGCTATACCACCGTGAGGGTTGAGAGACACTTTAATTCAGTAAGACCGAGCCAATAATTCAAGTTTCAAGAAGGGAGACAGAGCCAAACGTAAAGCAAACCACACAGGGTTTATTTACCCGTTCCCGATGGTTCTTGGCACCAGCAGGCCACCCGGAGGATCCGCTGAAAGACACACACAAGGTCTGGGGGTGCGGCCCGACGGCGTCGGTCACTGCAGCCCTCTGGAAGTTCTCCTAGAGAGGTGCAGGGCAGAGCAAGGCAGGGTCAGCTTTCCCAGAGCTGGGGATGAAGTCTGTGGAGGGCAGACAAGCATCCAAAGATGTGGCCGAAAAGCCCCTGCTTTTAACAGCTGAGTTGAAGGTGTGGTGCGTCTTCAGTGTGTCTTATCAGGGTCCTACAGAGCGCGGGCCTGCTTGGAAGCCAGGGCTACAAAGTGTTAATCTTATCGTGGCACGCAGGCCTCACAATTACACTCGGTCACACAAGATGAAGTTACTTATTTCAAATCTAATACACACATCAAACTTATATTCCTGACTCTAATACACACACAAATCTATTTCTATAACAATAATGGTGCCTGTGCCTCCTGCGGTGAATTGGAATCACATGGAAGAGGCTCTTTGTAATTGTAAGGAGAGCCTCCGCCATTTGGATTTTCAGGGGCCTCTGACCACCTTCAGCTCCCCAGACACTTCATATGTAGCTTCCCTTTCAAGCCCTAGGTTTCAGCTTTCACCCTTCACCCAAGGGCTTTCAAGTTGGTTTTTTTGTTTGTTTTTTGTGTATTTTTAAATCAGCAAGTATCGTTTTTGGAATACAAAATCGGTAGTGTTGTTTGAATTATGTGTGTAAAAGAATGTGAGAAGGTATTTTGGAGAGGAGGATTTTAGGAATGCACATTTATCCGCAAAAACTCTTTTCCAAAATGTAAGTGAATGTTCTCGAAAAGATGACCTCTAGTGGCCGTTTGCTTTCTGTTGCATTCTGTTAATGATGCTTCCTTCCTAGATCTGTGTGAAATTAAAATTTATGTAATCCTTTCTGTACATCAGGGTAATAAAATGTCAGAAAGCATTTCTTTTCGTCCTTTATTGCTTAAATGTAATTTCCAAATAAACTGTCTTTTGAAATCTAGTCCATAAATAGAAGTGAGCCACAATAAAGTCATCAGTTTAGGGTTATATTGTCTGTCTGACTAGTATGATTGTCTTGTGTTGATGCTGTGGTCTTTCTTCCTCTCATACATAATATCCTTCTTGTGAATTTTTTACATAAAAAAATATATATTAAGGGATCCATACAAATGTTAGTTGCTGCCAAAAAGAGTGTTGTTTCTTTAGCTATAAACAGTTGATTCTGCAGTCTACACTCAGTCTTATTGTTGGTTTGACTGTGAGTATATGGAACTCTGGCAAAATGAAATGGAGCAAAACACACAAAGAATACAGCCACAACAATAAACACTTTACCTTCCAGCTTTTTGTTGTTTTTGCTGTCCTTACTTTTCGACTTTCTGTAAGAGTCGTATACCTTTTTTGCAATCACCACATAAAACAGAAGCATTAGAGCAAAAACCGTCCAGAAAATGAACTGGGATATGTAATTCACCCACTGATGCCACTTCAGCCCCAGAGGACTCTTTAAGGAGGCACACTTTCTCACAGATGACGGCGTCGCCTTCTTGTTGCTTAAGATGATGTTTGGCAGAGAGATGAGGAACAAAAGGAACCAGACGAGGGCTGAGACTGTTTTTGCAAAAGCAGGTTTTTGTACAAAGAATTTTCCAAAAGGCCTAATGATCTTGAGGAACCTGTCAAAGGCAATGAGACCCAGCAGAATGATGCCCACATACATGGTCTCATAGAAGACAACGGCTGAGAAGCGACACACGAAAGCTCTGAGTTGCCAGGGTCCCAGGTGTGAGTCGGAGAGGATTTTGAATGGAAGCATGAGTGTCATCACCAAGTCGGCCACCAGGGTCGTCTTGAGGTAGATGATGAAGGTGGAGGAGCTGGGAATGTGAACAAACACCCACAGGGCCAGAGCATTCAGCGTGATGCCGATGAGGAACACAACGGTGTAGAGGACTGGGAACACCAGCTGTGCTATGCGCGTGTCCCTGGGGCACCGCTCAGACCCATTGAAGCCCTTCATCACCGTGGCATTCATGATTTCCAGCGCCAGCTATTACAGATAAACACACACACATAGTGAGACAAAGCCTTCCATGATTTCAAAGTGCTACTTTTAGAAAAAACAAACTTTAGGTTTGTAGCGTATTAACACCTTCTGTATTAACATCATCATATTCAATAGATCAGTGGAGAAGGCACATGTTTCTGGCTAGAATTTTTAAAGTATGTAATACATTTTTGGTAGTTGTAACAATACCATTACTTTCACACCATTATGAAATCCAAATAACAGGTCCTACCCTCTTACAAGTGTTACCTTTACCATGGCAGTAAAACAGAACTCCATTTCAGAGGTAGTAATTCATGTCAGATTGCTGTATGTTATATAATTCCTTACGTTTCTAATCTACTGTCTGTAGAATGTTAACCTTAAAGCGTTTCTCCCCTTGACTATAGCCTGTCTTTCATAAACAAGCACACCTATAATAAAAGCTGAAATTCACCTTTGCTTGGGAGGAGGCCCGCTCTGCGTCTTCTGATTGAGGCAGTCATTAGATCAGCCTGCGAAGAGCCTGTGAAGCAAACCTTCTGCTTCTTAAACCCAGTTTCCTTCCTCATTTCATTCATGTAACGTGATCCACTAGAACCTCTTTACATTCAGACCATTGCAGGATTTTCTAATAAGAAACCTCTTTCATTTCAAACGTACGTACTGTTAATCTACCATGACTTGCATAAATTAGTTGCGGTTACCTCTATATTTTCTCATATAGTAACTTTCCTGCAGCTTAATCTAGTTTACCTACTTGCTCAATGAAATTTTTGAGTGCCTCATGTATATAGTAATGAAAGGCAGAAAGAGAAGATAACCCCAATTACAACCAAGTATAAGAGCTGACTCTAAAATCAGATAGAATCATTATCTGCATCCTTGTAGATTCTTTTCCCCAGAAATATGTGTTCAATATGATGGCCTGTTTACTTCTATAAACATTTATCTTGAGTCTTTTGGTCTTTCAGTTTCTGAGAGAGAAAATGACATATTTGCTAAGAGTTAAGGGCTAATGGACTCAGATTTTTGGAGTCAGAATCCCACATCCACCAATTACTGTGTACTAGATCATAGATAATTTGGTGACTCTGTGCCTCGGTATCCTCATCTGTGTAATGGGTTTAGTAATAGTGTATTGCTGTAGGGATGAAAGGAGTGCCTAGAATAGTCCTGGCTATACAGGGAGCACTAAAAAAAGGTTAGTTCCTCACTGCTATGGTGCGTGAACTACAGATTTAAACGGAGATCTAGTATATCACTTGCTAGAAAAACATTTTTTGAAATGTTTTCTGTATTTGGTGATATATGCAAAGTGCTAAAGACTTCAGGAATTTCATCAATCAATCTTGGACCAAGGTCTATAAAATTTTTTCTTTAAATTGTCTTCAAATTTGAAAGAGTATAATTGCTGCTTTTGTATAGACAAAATCTATGATGGAAATGTTGTCTTGCCAGGTAGGTAAAGGGAAGAGAAAATTTAGAGATCTTATGAGGGAATTCGGGTTTCTCCATGGTGAGTTTCACTTCATATTTTCTGCTATAAATTTTACCCACAGAGCTGGAGTAGACTGTGGGGTGGGGTTGGTCGAGAATTTTTCGATGACTTGGCTTGGGATTCTGAGAATAAAATTCTGTAACCCACTGAACACTTCAAAATATGAGGCAATGGGATGCCTGATGAATTTGCTTGGAACTACCCTATGGTGACACAGTGTGAAAAATATGTTTGACTCAAACTGATTCTTTGAAATATATATTCTGGATTTCAGTAATGCAATGGAACATAATTTAAACATATATCTTTTTGTTTGCTTTAGTAGAGAGTAAAAACAAACAAACATTTTTTTTAAGTAGAGGGATTTGACTTACGTAATTAAGTGTACATTTCCCAGCAGTGCCAAATCCATTATCTAGATGCAGGTTTGGAATAATTTCAACTTAAACAAAGGAAGTGCTGTACAAGATCACTTCATAATGTGAAAACTGAAAATCATATTTTGGTGAAATTTCAAAATGCCAAAGTGTGGGAAACTTTCAAAAGAGGAACTGAAATAGTATCCATTTCTAAAGTTACAGGGGCATATTCTTTTAAATGGAGTGGTAGGTTTCATAATGTGTAATCATAGTAAATACTCAGCAGGTCACTCATTCCTGTGAGTTCATGTGCTTAGTGTGTATTAGCTGTCTTTCTGTGTTCTCATCAGTTGCTGTGGCCCCTGATGGAGGTCTTTTGCCCTTGATGGTGTCTCTGAGAGGCTGCGCAGCAGAGCAGTGTGAGCATTGCCTCAGGAGCCAGAATGCCTGTGTTCAATTCCTTATTCTCTTTACTTTTCTTGTGACCCTGGGCAAGTTATTTATGCTCTCTATGAAATGAAACCATTGTCTCCTCTTTACATGAAAATAAGTAATGGTATCTGCTTTATTGTGTTGTTAAAGGGATAAAATGTGTTAACATTCAGCAAGTGTGGAGCATGATGCCTGTGACATGGCAGGTATTGGTATGTTTTTTGTTAGATGAAATTAAAAGAAAAGCGGAATATCATGTAGAACTGTGGGGATAGCTCATGAAAGACAGGAGGAAAGCATCAAAGAAGATATATAAGTAAAGTTCTCAGAAATTAGCTGCCTGCCAAATGGGAAGAAACTAAACATTTAAAATCCTGTGGAGCTCACACTGGCTGTGCGGTTCTGTGTGATATGAGCGTATTTAATCCTTACAGCAGCACTCAGAGATGGGTCCCATTTTACTGAGGAGAAAATAGCGCAGAAAGTAAGCACTTTGATCCAGGTCCTGCAACCCAGGCCTACTGCAGATCCACAGTCTGGTTCCAGGGTCCACACTCAGCACCTGCCTCACTCTCCTGGCTGTTTGAAGCCACAGATAAGGGGAACATGGAATTGTTTACCAAATTCTGCAGTTTTTGAGCTGGACGTAACTGATTGATGAGTGAGAAGAAACAACTATAAAATTAATGGGCTTGTGAAACTTCTTGCCTTAAAGTGAGGTTTGAGGTTGAAAACACAAATTGGTTCAAAGTAGTATAATCAGGAGAGAATCAAAGATATTATAAAAATTAGAAATTAGAAGCCTGCGAAATGGGAATGACTACTTTTGCCATCTGTAGTCTCCTTTGGGACTTTCCTTTGGATCAGAGTTAACAGTCTGAATGTTCCTGTTGACGTGGTAACCAGTAGCATGTAAATAATATGTGAGAAGATGAGGAAGCATTTGCTTTCATATGGAACGAAAGTCAAAATGGGAACTCCTGTACACATAGAAGAGCCTTTACTTCCCATCCAAGTATACCACAGTACTTTCTCAGTTAATTCCACACTGGATTAACCAAAAGTGATAATAATGAACTAAAATAAAATACACAATTTCACATTAAATGTAGTGATCTGTATCTGTTGCTAAATTCAATATTAGAGAGTCTATACCTATAACTGGAAACAGGCAATTGATTCACAATATCTGAAACATTTATAGGAATACCCAGTTATATTTTTATTATAAAAGTTTAAAGAATTCAGATATAAACATGTATACAGTAGGAATTCAAAGTTAATCTCCCTTATGTATACATACCAGTGGTTTGGAAATGTGTGTGTGTGTGTGTGTGTGTGTGTATGTAAATGTGTGTATATATACATTTTTTGAAATATTGGATCTTAGTTTCATTTCATGTTAGTACGTGATGACTTCCCTAATTTTTAAAAAACATTATACTGTATAAAATTATCATAGTTTAAGTTGTTACTGATGGGCATTTTTTTTTTCCATTTTTTCTCATATTAAAAAGTAGTACTGCCCAGCTGGGCATGGCTCAGCCGTTGAGCGTCGACCTGGGATCCAGGCGATCGGGGTTCGATTCCCGGTGAGGGCACATGCCCAGGTTGTGGGCTTGATCAATGACTCTCTCATCATTGATGTTTCTATCTCTCTCTCCCTCTCCTTTCCTCTCTCTGATGTCAATAAAGATATATTAAAAAATAAATAAATAAAAATTTTAAAATTAAAAAAATAAAAATCAGTACTGTAGAGCACATACGTGTCCATATGTGTTTGTGCATTTGTTCCAACATACTTATAGGAAGTTCCTAGAAATGGGATGCTGAATCCAAAGCTGTGCATCAATGCGTAAATGGTATTTTCCAGTAGCTTTCTGGAAAGGTGTACCGATTCATAGTCTCGCTGAGTGGGATTCTATGACACTATGATTAAAAGGCTTTAAAATCAATTATAAACTTATAGGTATAAAAAGGCCATGCCGTTTAAGTACACATTTATTTGATTATTAGTGGTATATATCTTTTTATATTGTCCATTTGTATTTCTCCTGGAAATTGATTTTTCAAGCCCTTTCCCCTTTTTTCAAAAAGTCAGGCTGTTTCCCTTTACTGAATGACTTGTAAGTGTGTTTCCACATGCTTGGTTCCCACTAGCATCATTGCAGTCCCACTTTGGGCTTTCCTAGCCAGAAGGTCACCTAGCCCAGCCACTAGACTATGCAGTTGTTACAGAGCAAAGCCGCTGAAACACCCTGCTGCGGGAAGACAGGGCTCTTTTTCTGTGTGGGGGTTTTCTTCTGCTTTTAAAATTCCAGTCCAGGGGTTGTCAGTCATCTTTTCTAAAGAACTGACTGGTATATACTTGGGTTTTGTGACCATGTAATCTCCAACACAACTACTTATTCCTGTTGTTGGAGCAGTAAAACCCGAATGGGTGTGGCTGTGTTCTAATAAACCTTGTTCTGGTTACTGAAACTTGAATTTCATAGAACTTTAATGCAACATGAGCTGTTGCTCTTCGGATTTTATCCCCACGAACATTTGAAATGTAAAAGCCATTCTTAGGTCATGGACTATACAAAAACAGATGATGGGCTAGATTTGGCTTGCAGTCCACGGTTTGCTGCACCTGCTTTAGACTGTTTCTATAAGGAACCATTGAGAGCAACTGCCCATAACCAGCATCCTGAGGACT